TGTGTGTCAGTCGATTACTTGATGTTTTGTGGCGAGTGCTATAATTTATGCCAATGGCTACATTTTTGGCCGACACTCTGTCTGCGCGAGGCAGCGCGGCGACGCGTCGACGCCGTTCAGTCTGTCCCCTCGAGCGGCGTGAAGGCCGTTGTGGTTGCGGTCGCAGCTTCGCATTAGGCCACCATTCGATAATAGTTAGCAAAATACATATGTGTGTGTGTGTATGTATATCTATATTTGTTGTAAGCCATATACATATTTTAGCACTGGCTAATTGGTTGGCCTGGCCGGTTCGAGAGACCAATTGAAACACGTGTGTGTCGCCCGAACAATGCGGCGTATGCGCAATGTTCGCTTAATTACACGGCTTGTGCGTGCGCTTGTCAGTGTGTTTGTGTAGCTGTGTGAATGTTGTTGGTTGTTGTTCAATTAGTGTTGTGTATTTAATGACTTAATTGCAAATGCCGCCCCGCCTGCCAAACATTTGGCGCAAACTTGAGAGCGCCAAGAGCGACAACTCGTCGTATACGCAATATGCGGCTCCGCATGCGCAGAGCCCAGCTCGCTAGCAACAAATTAACAAATTAGCAAATTAGCAGCTACAATTTGGTATTCACATATTAATTGCCAGCTAAATCAAAGTGCCTTTACAAACATATTCGCTGGGTCTGGCCAATTTTGGTTCGCCGGTTTAAGATTTCACTGCATTCTCCTGGCCGTTAGCTCACGCTTAATTATAGCCATGCAGCTTTTTCTCTCTCTCTCTCTCTTTTCCCCCCCTAAGACTTTACATTTGCAACATGCAGTTGCTGGCTCGTGTGTTCCCAAAAATGTTCGTTTTTCTCTTATAATACCCTAAAATTGTAATTTGTGGGTATAATAGTTTATACAGAAGAATATGCTACATAAGAAATATTTAATTACGTAAATCCTATATTCATAAATATGATTTGTAGTGCATTTTCTCGACTTCGACTCGATATTCGCCTCAGATATTCGAAAAAAAAGAGACTAATTCAAATGGTTGAGGACAGGATTCACGGTATTTTCTAGTCGGGCTTCAGTACTCTTACATGTTTTTGTTTTCTTTTTGGCAAAATTTTCCAAATACAGACACTTTATAGAAATCCGGCGCGATTGTATTTATAGCGGCCGCATGTGAGTGATAAATAAATAAACTTTTTGGATTTATGGGCGTGCGCTTTTTGGGTGCCTTTATGCATACGACGCGTGACCGTTGGCAAGAATTTCGGAAAGTGTATTGAAAGCGCCCAACTCAAGGCAATGGGCTTAAATACAAAACTTGTGTACGCAAACCAATCCAGTCATATCAACGTTTAATTAGAAAAAGTATGTGTAAATATTTTCAATTTTGCATTTGTGCGTTTCCTGAGAAATGTTTTGGCCAGTTTGCAGTAGCAGACAAACAAATGAAATGCAAAGTTCGAAGGCCGTGGGAAGCACAGTCGAAAGCCAAAATGAAAACAAATATGCGGCTAAACATCCCGAACAAAATACATTAAACTATGTACATCAAATGCTTCGCTGGAAATCCCGTTAGCCACGAGCCAAATGCAGAAAATTGTGTAAGCGCTGTGAGCCATTTCCCAGCCCACAGACCGAAATGTTCCTAATTAAAAATGACTGCCCAGATCTATACGTATATGCATTTTAGCTCTAAGATGCATTTGGCATTGTGTATCTAAATTGAAATCAGCATTGAACTGAAGTGCATAGATAACTTCACAATTCACAATTCAGAATATTCACAATTGAAAGCCATCAGCTAGCAAAACTACAAATCAATTAACCTTGACAAAAATGCATTTGGCAAAAACTTAATTGAAAATCGTCTACAAAATGCATGCAAAACAAAATTGACTCAAAATTGACTCAAATGCCATTTGGCTGGCCAGCTCTGGTCCATTGGCTCAACGAACTGATTGGGACTGGACAAGCGATGCGACTGCCATGTGCTTGCCATATCATCAGGCTCGTCATCAGCAGTTGTTTATATAAAGGCAGCAGCAGCGGCAGAGACTGGGGCAGAGGCACAAGCATAAGCACCAGCATCAGCAGCCGCAGCGCAGCGCAGCAACATCAAATCATCGTTGCCTTAGTCGATGGCCCGCATATGGCTCAGCCGGAGGTAGACCCCCAAAAGTAATTTCGCCGAGTTAATTATTGCGTGTTTAACCTTGAAATTAACGATTATATTTATCGTATTAAAACTATAAAATAATCAACTTTGTTTAGCTTTCGTTTCATACAATTTGCACAAAATAAACGAAATTGAAATATTAAAGCAAAAAAGAAAGTAATTTAGTTGCTGTTATTCGATTGGAAGATACCCTGTGCAATGCAATACACTATGTTGGTGTATTTGTATTTAATTTGAATATATATTTTCTAGAATTTTGTGATTTGATATCCCAAGTCTTAACCACATATCGATAGCTATCGATATTTATTAAATTAGCTAGATTTATTTGCTTACAGATATACCTGATGTTTACCATGTGAATCTTAAACCAAACTACCCTTTCTAGCCCACTTATAATGGCTACAGGGTATCAATGTTTGACTTTGATATTTCAATTTGCATATCCAAACACATTGGAATATGTTTCGGGTAGTGCGCTGCATGACTCATGGGCAAGGAGTTTGGAGCTTCACAACTGAATCCCAAATCCCGAATCCCGTTAGCCAGCAAGTGGTTTTCTACTTGTCTGAGAAGTGTCGTAAACGTTTAACGATGCACATTAAACTGCAGCTCCGAGTGCTTGTAATGCTATGCCTGTAAAAGTAGTGCCGGCAAATTCGTGTATATTTATTCAGGTTTTATTTAATACTTTATTTAATGGGCCGCCTTTTTGATTTATTTGGCACATTTTGGCGCAAATGGCTTGAAATAACATGAGCAAAGAGCTGGCGAATTTCAATTTATGGTCGCACGCGGCGTATGCGTTATATGTAATTATCTGCACTATGGAGTTAATTGTCTGTCCTGATACCCTATATTTACCTATAAATTGTTGGCCTTTTTTAAGGTGTGCAAATTGAGAAGGACCGTAGAGAAGATAAACAATAATTATATATTGCATTTGTGCATGCGCATGCAGTTTTCAGAGTGTCTTATTACACATCTTACAAGATATATATATTGATATTTTAGTCATGTTTCTCTCCCCGACAATTTATAATCAATATAATGTGGCAATCAGTATGCACATGGAATCATATAAATATGGGTTATCAACATAAATTGATGGTGTAGAGTGCATTCAGCATTCCCCATCGCCGCACATTCTCACGTTCGGTTTATTTACATATTTATGTATATCTGTTGGATTGCCCACGACGCGTCGTGCAAAAAACATATAAATTACAAATATTTATTTGCTTTTGGACGCTTACAAATTGTGCGTGTTTATTTGGACAGTGCAAGTCGCTGCCAAAGGCGTTGGCCTTATGGACTCGCACTGGAAGCAACGACCACCTGGCCAATTGAACAGAATATTAAACTCAAATTGGTAATGCAATCGAGCCTGGTTCTACGGTCGTTTAATAATAAAACAATATATAAAAGCATTCAAATTTGGGAGCGGTTCAAATTGGATTTTGGTAATCCTATTAGCTGGAACCTATTAAATATATGTATCTATAGATCTGATCAAGTATACGTATGTCTATTTTTGAATTATTCATATTCATACTATCAAGTTATACACCTTGAACTCATATCTAGATCTGAGCTATTTTATTAAAGAAGACTCTGTTATAAAACGAATAAGTTCGAGTCTGAAATGTTAATAACTATTTGATAATATATCCAACTTTAAATCAAAACATATTTCAATAACAATGTGAAACCCGAATTAAAAACTAGTTTCAGGCTTTGTTGCACTGCACGTGCAGACTCAAACTACTTATGGAATTTTTTGCGTTCTTTAAAACCAATAAAATAATAATAATTTGAACCCGTGCAGGAATTCACTTAAATTTAAGAGAGCCGACCGAATAGACTTCAAAGATGATTGTTAAAGACACGTTGGGTGGTGTAAAATGAACAGATGGCTCGCGCCTTGCTGCTAGTTATTGATGGCTAAAGAATTTCGCTGAAAGTGAGGCTGTTTATATGATTTTTTTTAATGCATAAATGTGTTAATAAGCACTTTAACTAAATTGCCCTATTGGTGTGGGCGTATCAGGGGCTGGTCCAGCAACATATTGTTAGATGGAATGCACTAAACAAAATACCATTCGGAATATTGTTTATTTTTGATGTGGCTCACTCAGGTTGCACAGTAGAGCCAAGTAAGTAGCTCTATTAGCTAAACTAATCACTGTGTTAAGTGTAAACAAATAAAAGGAAATATGCGAGCGGAATGCCAAAAATTAATTATATAAATAAATATTTGAGTTGAAGAAGAATTCAAACCAAAATAAAATAATACCGTTTTATATTGTAAATATTCACAGCGCGAAATCCAAACAACGTTTTCGAATAATACAC